ATGCGACAAATGTTTAATGAAATAATGTAGTGTTATGCTATAATTTTAAATTTAATAATATTAAAGGCTTATGCAATTATTTCATGCAGGATTATTCAAGTCGCATATTATATATATATTTCCATGAACATTACATTAAATAAAAAATATTTCTTTTAATATTATAATTAGGTATAGTTTATTGTTTAGGTTTAGGATTTTATATATACCTTTAAGATTTTTTATTTATATTTAGTATTTGTTTTATATCTTTATGATTTTTTGTTTTAGGTATTAGTGTTGGAATTATAATATCTTTTTTATATATTTGGATTACGTTTAGTTATATATAAATTTTTTATTACATTTTTATTATAATGGTATGTATACCGACATGTGTTTTGAGGATTTATGAATTTTATTATATTTTATATTATTTTTAGTAAATATAAAGAGAATAATCTTAATAATAATATATTTTACGTAGGATAAAAAATATTCATTCCTATATATGTATGCTGTTGTATTATTTTTTTTATTATAGGAAAACTGTGTTCGATGTATGATATGTTAATATTGTCTTGCAGTAATGGTATATTATTTTATATATATATAAATTTAGTTCTACATTATTTTACACAATTTGTATTTATTATTTTATAATTATATATATTATTAATTCATTTATTTTATTCGTTATTAAGCCATTATTATTCTAAAATCCACTCGATTTTTTAATTTATTACACTATTTATTCATAAAATATACATTACTTTGCATATAAGCGTATTTATAAAAATAAATTAGTATGTTATTTATTATATAGTATATATTATGTAATTTACAATTAATACAGATTTTAATTTTTAATAATTGCATAATTTTGATAAATATTTAATAATTTATCTTATAAATCATTTAATTGAATTTTGAGATTTAGAAGAGGATTAAATAATCTTTTAAAGGTATCTTTTTTTTAAAAGATAAATATGAATTATACATTATTATTTTAATTCATCAATCTGATATATTAATTATGTGTACATTTTATTTTCTGACACATTTACATTAATTAATAATTCATGAAAATTGCACATTATTACAATATAAAAAATATAGTTCATATTTTGTATTAAGAAATAGAAATAAAAATTCTAATATATATGTTCTCTCTTATTTTTACAATGGAAGATATATCATAAGTACATTATATTTCACGAACATTTACTCCGATGCATAATATTTTGGAAACATAATTTTATTTATATTTAAAACGGAATAATATGAAAGAATAGATATATATGTGAGAATATACAACATAAAATTATGGATAATATATTCTTCAAAGAAATGTAGCTTTAAATTCATTGTTATAAGCAATATATTATATTATTGATATACGCTCATAGTTTTATTAAATGATTATATTAGGATATAGAAATAAAAACAATGATTAATAAACATTAAATACTATAACAGTGGTATATATAAAAAATATTATAAATAATAAATTATATATATATATAAACACTTCTATATACAGAACTATGATTAAATGATATTCATCGTGAAATTTATATAATGATAATGAATTTTCATATAATAAATAAAAAATCATGTATACAAAATAATTCATATTTATATGATATCAAGACATATTGACCAAATGAAAATAACGTAATCATAATATCATATACATAGCATGTCCATATTCTATATAATCCACATAAATGAGAACGACAATTTTAATACTGTTCAATTAATCATTATTATATAATTGAGAACCAGGATCATTAAAATCGATCAAAAAATTATTATAAAAACGAGAACTATAAAATAATGACAATAACAAAAGAACAATTATTTCAAAAAATAAAATTTAAAAATTATACGCAAAATCGAAAAACCGTGAACCCTAAAGCCTGAACTCTGAAACCCGAATCCTTAAATAAAGATTTGTACATTAACCCGGAACACTTAATAATCCTATAAGAAATATAAATATGGAAAGCGTTAGGTTTAATAAACTGATACATATAACATGAATAATGAGCTCTCATTGTGTCATTTTGGAATGAACCAATAAATTATGTGAATTTTGTTCAGCAAGAATAAAATGATAATATATTATTATTTTTTAATTTGAAAATTATTTTTATGTAGAACAGATATGTTTAATTCTCATTAATATTATAAAAATCTTTGATTAATTTTTTTTGAAATAATATAATATTTATTTTTCCCGCTTTTATAAATGTTGAAATATAGTAGTAACCAAAAAAGAAAAAAATAAATGTATGAAAAATATACGAATTTTATTAAACGATTAATCTTATATTTTATAAATAATACAAAATTTTATTAAAAAACTTTATCATAATATTCAGGTTTCCAAATATAATTCCTAGTTTTTAACCTATGTAAATAAAACATATGTTATATTTCAATAATGTACTTATTATGTATTTCCTTGAATTTTTATGAATAATATGAAAAAAAAAATATTCCTTGATATCTCATGTTATAATATATAGGAAATATATTTTTTATTATAGAAATCTGATTTCGTTATACATTCATTTTTAGATTTTATATGCGTCGAATATATTTTTCATATTATATAATATTGGTTTTTTTTATCAATAATATTATGGGATAATTAAATAGAATTAGATAGAACTTTATAGAGAAAATAACAATTATTATGTAATATATCAACATGATAATATACGTTATATTTTGTGGGATTTATTGCTTTTGATGAATATTATTTATATATAACATATATCAACTCTTTGTTATGTAATCACGAAATATTGAAAACTGACTACAAATTATATATTTTACATTTAGTCATTAATAACTCATTAATTACTATATATTACTTACGTTCTATCTACACTCTTATCTGAATAATGGGGTAATGATTCATATATTATTTTTTTTGACCTCAGTAAAAGCTCAATGGGCGATATATTATAGAATAACAAACTTATTTAATATGTTTCTGTCAGTTTCATGAACACTTTTCAATAAATATTATCAATAAATTACATTTAGTTCTTTTATTAGTTCTTTTAACACTTTACTGATTTTATGAGTTTGTTCTTTATTACTTATCCTTTTTTTTTATATATTTTATTTTTTTATGATTCATATTATAACAATTTCTAAAATTCCCCTAAATATATTAATACAATGAGTTTATTTATCTATAATACAGGAAAATAAATATATATCATGCAATAATTCAATGTATTATCATTTTTTATTATACCTATTTATATATATATCATCATTAGACGCAGAGCTCATTTATAACTTTTATTTACAGAATTATACTTGAATATAAATTTTACAAATAAAAAAATTATACATATCTATAATTGTTTTGTTGTTTATTATATTTTAATTCCTTATAATAAAGAAGTAAGAATTATGCATTAATATATATTTATTTTTTATGCAACTTTCAATTCATAGTCCTATGTGCTAATATCTTCCAGGTTCATGGTTATTATTTAAAAAAATATATAATCTGAATTATTATTATAATTAAAAAAATAATTTTTATATGTTTTATAATTGTCAATAATAATATATATAACATATTTTTTTTTAACTATGAATTACACATAAATATCTTTCTATAATATATGGAATATTTATTATATTCACGATAGATAATTCTATGCATATTATAAGTTTAACTCACTAATTATTGTAATTCTTAATTGTTTTTATTGAAAATACATTGTTCCTATAATCAAAATTAAAAATATAAAATTAATGAAATGGTAAACTATTCTGAGGAATTATGATGTAAATAATTTTTTTGTGATATATAATTGTTAATATCACTATGATTTATATAAAAAATGGAAAAAAATGTAAATAATAATTATTAAAACCATATATATATTTTTTATTGTTCCCGAAGAATGTAAAAATATATATACTTCAAATATTATTTTTATATATTTAATAATATACATAAAAGAAGTTTCATTGTCTTTTGCATTAATATATATTTATTCAGTTTAAATAGAATGCATAAGTATATTTTATATAATGCACAAAAAAATAATAAGAAAATCCATAGTCCTTATTTTATATAAAATAACAAGTTAAGAATAAAGTAAAAGAAAAATTCGATATATAAATAAATATGCATTTTATAATATTTTATCACTTCTTATTTTTATCATTTGCATTATTGGATACAAGGAATGAATAAATATACTAATTATAAGGTGTACACAAAAATAATATAAAAAATTATAAATTTATTAATTATGATACTAATACATATCACATATAATACATTAATTATTTCTATAATATTCAAATACAGTTAAAAAAGATATGCATAATTTATTTACTCAGATTTATAATATTAAATCACATTTTATTATATATTATACAAAGTATTTTACCACACAAAATTATTTAATCATGGTACATAATTAAATTTCATATAATTTAGATTTATTTAATAAATCTTTATATTATATATACATTACTCATTATATTATGTTAAAATTATTTTAAAATATTATGCTTAAAGCATAAATAATAAATTATAAACATGCATAATGCATAAATATTTTTCACTGTGCCTAATTTTTAATGGAAACTTAAGGCATGTAAAAAAATGAAGTACTTAAATTAATCAATTATTAAATAAATACATTTTTCATTTAATTTAGGAGTGACGCAAAATTGTATTGACTTTCATTCTCTATATAATTTTATGATATGTGTATTTTTTTTATTACATAATAGTGCAAATAATTTGCAATATTATATTGCTATTTTTTTAATATGAATTAATACACTAAAATGCTAATTCATTTGGGGTATTAGTACGGAGGATTAACAAATAAAAAGAATTAACCAAGAATATAATAATATATTAATTTTAATATATATTATTATAAAATTCACATTATATATTATCAATGTAGTACATATTCTAAGACATTTGTTATGTAAAAACTTAAAAGAATCTATTTATTTTTATGAATTCATTCAAAAATATTTATATAATGGTTTTCCCTAAATATACGAAACACAAAGTATATTTCTATTTGTTTTTATAAATATAATTTACATTATTTAATTATATCATATTCTTAGTTCTGAAAAACAAGTAATTATTTCAATTTAAATGTTTTTTTTTATATTTTTCAACACATTAATACATTTATTTTTAGTTTGATTTTAGTGATATATATCATAATTGTGTAGAAGGATATAATTGGTCATTCCTCTCTAATTATAATACTGTGGCTCAGGAGTTAACAACACTGTGTAGTTATTTTAATAATAGTATATATGGTTCTTGTAAAGGGAATTTTTTTCAACGTTGCCAACTTGTTACTTATTATTTATATTATATAAAAAATAATAAATCATATGCATGTTGTATATATTTTTATTACAAACTAAAAGATTTATTGAATAATTATGGATGCAAATGTAATAACCTTAAAAATTGTTATGATGAAATGGTGAGTCTAAGCAAGAATTCGAGATTGGTTAATCATATTTCTTTATTATTTTCGCAGTGTAGTGATTATCCATTTCATCTTGATGATGAAATATTTTTATTAATATTTAAAAAGATGGATGAAGCGTATTATAATTTAAAGGAATTCACAAAATACAAACAACCACAAGTTTCGAAATTTTTGGATTTTAATCAAGGGATGGAATATTTAAGAAGTTGTCAAGATAAATATAACTACGGTTTTGAAAAAGTACTTACATATTTTAATAAATCAATTAAAGATTATTTGGAAGGATTAGATAAAAATAATTCATTTGTCAAGGCATTCTTTAGTTATGATTACATATCTAGATATATTACAGGAGAATTGAGCGTAGTAGATATAAAGCCACAAATTCAAGCTATAACAGGTCAATATATTGGTAGAGATACTAATACACATACTATCAGAGATACTAGTACAGATACTAATACAGATAATGGTACACAAATAAGTACAGTAGTGACCTTTTCATTTTTTGCAATATTGTTATATATGTTTATCTTGTATAAGGTCCAAAATAAATTACATTTTTATAATATATATAGTTTTACAATTTATATTACATATTATGATGAATCATTATATCACATATATAATATACTCATATAAATAATATAATGTCACATTATTTTCAGTACACTTCTCTTGGATCATATTTACAGCCCAAAACAATGTGGTTAAGGAAAATAATGAAAAGAAAAAATAAAAAACATATGAACCAATTAGATTCATATGAAAATATGTACAATGAATCAAATGACAAACAATATAAAATAGCATATAGATCAATATGAAACGTTTGTAAAATTATTAAAATAAATAAAATAAGAATAAAATGAATTTATTTAAAATTTTTTTTTAAAAATTCTATGTTTAAAACATATTTTAGTTATGTAAGTTAATAAATAATTATAAGAAAAGGTTTAGGGTTTATGTTTATTATTTATGCCAGAGCATATAGTATAAGGCATATAATGAGAATTAAATATATTATTATATTCATATCTATTATATAGTTAAGAAAATATTGGATATACTTATTGTGTTCTTACAAAACTATGACATTTTTTCTACTAAATATATTTTAAGTGAAAAATGGACAAAATTATTATAATTATAATTGATTTATATTGTATAGAATATATCATTCCTCTTTATTTTACTTGACACATTATTTACATGTATTTTACTTATATATGTATTGTCTAAGTTATTTTAATTATAGTACGTAGTACATGAATATAATTTTTATATAAAAATATTTTCTATATTATTTTACAAACTTAATATTATTTAAATTTTATATTATTAATAGATATATTTTTACTTCTACTTAATAATTTATATGTAATTATCTACTTGGTATTTGAAAATTATTTATATACGTTTTCATTATTTCAATAGTGCTGCGTTTATAAGATTAATTATATAATATATTAGTTTTTTTTTCCTTTTAAATAAAAATATAATTAAAATATACAGCAGTGTATTCTAAAAATAAATGGTTTATAATTTTTTAATGTGGGTATATATTTTATGTATATGTTTTTTATTATAAAATCAAATAGTCTATAATGCATTAACACTTTTTTTATAAATATACATTTTATAATATTTAAAAAAATATTTTGTCATATTGTAATGAGTATTTATACATATGCCGTTATTTTATCTGAAACATATTCTATATTTTGAATAAATTTATACACTCTAAAGTGTATGAAATATTTGCTAAATCCTGATAATTTAGAAAGTTTTAATTTTATTTTTTCCTATATGGCTAGTATGAAAATCTAATAATATAGATTCATTTATTTTTCGCAATAATTTTTAAGTATTTATCCATGTAACATTGTTGTATCATGATTATATATGTTAAATTGCACGAAGTTTCTTATGTTAAAGAATAAACAACATATGTAATTTTGATAAATTTGTTTTATAGTTCTAAAATTATTTACTACTCAAATGTCTATATAATAATTAATATAAGTTGATATATCTGATCTATAAAAAAGTGAATATTTCTAGTTTTTATTAATGTATATATGTGATGTTGTTTTACGAAAAATAGCTTCTTAATTATATATTTTATTTCTTCAATGAAAATACATTATTGCTTCAACACATGATTTATTACATTTTAGATATACGTCAAAACATTTGAATAAATTAACAGTTCATTAATACAATCCACAATTAATTTCAATAAATAGCATTGTAATTAATTATTTTTATAATTTTTTCCTATTATTAACCAATTATATTTTTAAAAAAAAATTAAAATTTACAGTACTAAAATAATAAATAAAAAAGAACAACATTTTTAAAAAATATAATGATATTTTGCATAAAAGGAAAAATATGAGAAAAAAGTAGTTCATGTCTAAAAATAATTTTGTTCTGCTAATTTTTATATTACTAGATTTGAAATAATTTATATTAATAATTTTTCTTCTCTTTAATTCGTTATATACTATTTATAAATATATTGTTACTAATTTTTTTTCCTTCTAAATATCTTCATATGTTTTAAAGTAAGAAGCATAAATTAATAGTAATTAATTTCTCGTTATATTTATCCTATAATCTTATGAAGAATTATTGATTTCAGAGAAATTCAACTGAGATTATAAGAATATGGATTATATATATTTAAAAACGTAAAAGCATAGATTCTACTAATATTAGTTTATGAAAAAATAGTGTACATAATTAAAACTCCTTCTACCTGAAGAAAATATTCATCATATAAACTCCTAAATAAAAATAGTCTTATTGTGAAAAATATCATTTACATAGAGTCAAAATTTAAATGGGAAAAAAAAAAGAATCGTGAAATAAATTTTCTATAATATATAGCTCTTTACACTTATGATGATTAAGAATTATTTTTATTTTTTTGGTGAATTATTAATTGATATACAGTATGTATATAACTTATTAAAAATTTACAAAATAATAAAATTCAGCACAATGTTACATTCTGTGAGGATTATAATATTGTTATTTTTTTAATAAAAATAAATATAATCCAAATTTTCCATTTTATATTTCTAGCACTTATGCAGCTTGATCTGAAACACATTAAGTCTCAGTTGCTAATAATTTATTTATTTTTTTTAAAATTATACAAAGAACAAAAAGATATATTAATAAAAAATATGCTAACTTTTCACAGGTATATAAGAATGATATGAAAAAAACATTATATTATTTTATATTTTATAATGTTTTAATTTATGGTAGTATTTTTATGTAAAGTTAAATGATCGTAGTTAAAAATTTTTATAAGACATTTGTAAATAGATAATTAATTTAATGTTATATACACTACTCAAAGAAAAAGAAATTATTTCCTAAGGGAAAGTATATAAATATAAATTATTTTAATGTTTTCCTACATAACATAATGACTAATTACCGTATTCATTTGTGCATCTAAAATATAAGGAAATAGGTAATGTTTTATTTTTAAATATTGAAAATATTTAGGTCTATTACCAGGAAGGGCGTGATGATATGTATTATTTACTTTGCGTCAAAACATCAATATATTTAAACAAATTATATGAAGAACTGAACAAAATACGTAAAAATGTAAGCTATTGCGTCGAACACATGTTTCATGATAATATAGGGGAAAAGTATTATAACAGGCATGAAGCAGAAAGTAAATTTGTTAGTGATAAATTTTTTAATACATTATCCATGTTAATTAAAATTCATCCAAATTTGAAACAATTCCGATGATATGAATTAGATTAACGGGAACGATATGAAAAGGAGAAAGGTCAACATGATATTTATGAAAATTATAAATATATCTAAAGAAATAATTGACATAAAGAACAATTATGGAACGTATTTAAATTATGACATTCACATTGAACCAATATATATGATGTATTATTATGGATATAGATTTTACTCTTAAAATGAAATTGTTGAATTCCTTGTAATCGCCAATTTATTTATGATTTAACATATATCTCAAATGTTGTTCTAACCATTTCTAAGATCTTATACGAGAAATAAAGTACAAATTATGTTAAGAATTTAAGTGTATAGGAACCCCAAACGATGAGTTTGATAGCATTTTACATATTAAATTAGCACTCAACTTCAGTCTAACAAGCCATATAACATATTTAGGCTATTTTAATAAATCAGTCAAGAGAAACAGAAAATGATCTTCCCAGTAATATAGAAACATACTATTATATATAAAATTATTATTACTTTTATCATGTTTTTATAATTGCATCATTAGTAGAAGCAAAATTATTCTTAAGCATTTTCTTCGTGCAAACAAAAAATAATATATAAATATTTAAATATTTTCTTAGTATATATAACTTACTTATGTTATATTAATATTTATAAAATGATTATGTATTTTTTCTTTTTATACATTGGCCTCCTTACATGTGATCAACATTTTATAAAATAAGAATAAAATCAAATTAATATAAAGTCAAAATATATTTTTACAAGAAAACCTATTAAAATTTTAGTGTGTGTTCGATTCCTTAGATTAAAACAAGGGGAAATCCTATTACAGAAAATCATCCCTCATAATAATATTTTCTATATTTACATCATTAAGACACATTTTCTCTTTTTTAGAAGATTTATATGAATCTAGGTTCTAGTTCAGTTACATGAGCAGTCGGTGTTATGAGTTAAAAAGAAAAAAAATTATGAAATGTAGTTGTAACAATAAAACAAAAATGCAAGCATCACACATTAGAAGTGAATGTGTATTAATATTATAGATTAATAAATACTGTCATAAATTATAAATATGTTTCACTTGTTGTAATTATTATCGGCATGTGTTTGTTTGTAGATTATCAAAATTAATAATAATAAATATTAAATGTAATATAAATTTTTAAACAAAATGTTGTTCACGTTAAATAGAAAAGCAAAAAATAATATAAAATTAGGAACGAAGATATATTGATTATATAAATCCAAATAAAGTTTGTCATTTTGAATAATGACGTAGGGTATTAAAACAATATTATCCTAGGAAGCGATAATATAGTTAACATAATAAAAAAATTAACGAAAAAAAAAAATGTAATAAAAAGTAAATCGAAATATCGTGCTTCCGCTAATTATGCTTTTGCAAAAAAAAAAAAAAGATTTTTATTAAAAAGCATATTAGAAAATATATTTTATATTAGAGAATGTTACATTAAGCTAATTTAATGAATATTTGTGTTATACATGAAAAATAATGCAATTTAATGATTTACAGATTCAGTGAATATATATCAATCTATTTGACAATTAATAATATCTTATATAAATATATGTATGTATTTCAATTTCTTCCCTGTTGATGATAATACAGTGAAATTTATAATGGTATTTTTTATATTGTAAAAATTATTGATATCAATTAAAACAAAAAAAAATATATATAATGTAACAAAATAACTAAATAAAATGAGAAGAAAAAACGTAAACAATAAGTAATATTTTGTAGTTTTTGTTCTGGTATATACAGATAAACTTCTGTATAACAAAATTCCACATATTGCTGAATTAATCGTAAGGACAAATGAAACACTTCGTGTTGATATAGTTAGAATGAATTTGTATGAATTGTATTCAATTATTATTACAATATCATATTAGAATAATTTATGTTATATTACACTATATATATTTCCTTATTTTATATATAAAATACTAAATTATTATAAAAATATTTTATTCATGTAAAGCTCTATTTATTAAAACGACCTACATACAATATTTTTTCGTAGTTTTATTTTTCAATATTTATGGTAATATAATGCAATATTTATGAATTTCTATCTTATAATATTGAGAATTTAATATATATTTTTCCTTGATTATAGATTATGAATTATTTTGTTCTTTTGGTATTCATTTAATAAAATAATTCTCCGCTTAATTTAGCTATATTTTTCTTTCCGTTTTTTAAGATATGTTATTTCCTTCAAATTATGTATTAATTATAAAAATATTCCGAATGGTGTAGTAGATTATATCTATTACTTCTTGAAGCGTCATTGTACATTTCTGAAGGCTTCAATATGTTCCACTTTTTGTTCATATTATTCCACTTATTTATTAATTCCCTCATTCGACAGTTTATATATGAATTATATGGGGTGAACTAATTCGTAATAAAAAAAAATTGTGTATAGATTTCCAATATTTGTATAATAATTTTTTTTTTATATTTATTTAGAAAAATGATTTTACAATATAAAAATATGTCGAAATTTTCTAATTAACCCTGTATATAACAAATAGAAAAAATGGGATTAGAAACATTACAAGAATCGTTATTATAATGGTAGCTGATCTATTAATTCTAGATGAAATAATAACTTCCTTTTGAAGATTCAATAACGGTACATTTTGAGGTTTAATATTATCACAACCATGAATTAACATTAATTCCTTAAATTCAGTTCGAATATTTTTAAATGCACTGCAAAAATAGCTATCACGATTTGATTCACATTTATTTATGTACTTCATATATATATGAGAACAATCATTGGCATAATTGCATTTTTCTTTTCCTTTAGAAGGTTCAGATAAAGATTTCTTTAATTGATTATACTTATTATGCAAATCACATATATCTATGAGTTTTTCCCATTCCTCTCCTTCATTATCTTCCGGAAAAAGAGGTCTCTTAGCTGCTTTGCCAAAACTAGTACCATGGTATTTTTTTATTAATTTTCTATAAAGTTCTTTGAGTTGTTCTTTACTTATTCCATGCGTGGAACTATCCGTATATATCCAATAATACATATATTGTAATCCTTTTATAAGATTTGTCTGTATAATCTCAAAGCGCAAAGAATTTAAATATGGAAGCCAATTGAAACATTTATTATTTATATAATTTAATTGTTCATCTTCATTTTTTTCTTTTTGCATGAATTGACATTCATCATTGTATATACGAGGATTACTATTATCATCATCATACATAATAGCTCTGTATTTAGAAAAGTGCGAATCTAAGTTTTCAAACTAAAGATAAAAAAATAATAATGATGTAAAAAATATAATACTGAAAATAATTTCATCATATTTAAAAAAAATAAAAAGATGAAGAATTAAACAAATATGTGAATATCACTAATTAAAACCTACAACACCTTCCATATCATATAATATTATGAAACCTTATAGATCAACAAAGCGAAAGGATAAAATATAAAAAATATATAGTAATAATTTTTAAAAATAAACACACTTCATATGAACAGAATTTTCATATGTATTTATTTAATTATATGCTTAACACCAAAATGTAATTTACACCAGTGTGCATTTAATATTATAAAATATAAGATATGCTACAATTTATTTGTGACATAAAATATATATTCATAGTTATATTAATAAATGCATCAAACATTTGAATATATAATTTGGAAAAAAAATAAGCATTACTTACTAAAATGTAATATAAAAGATTTTATAATAAAAATTACGTTAATAAAAAGTTTTAACGTACAATTTTGGGCTGATGTATTATATATGTATATTATTTTTTTTTTTCATTTTATCCTTCATAATAATGTATTTAATTAAAAGAAACTTATAAGAAATTGTTCATTAGGCAATCCTTAAGCTTAGGATATTAGAATAAAGATTTTAGCTCAGGAGATTTAGTACATAATTTCATTTTTTTGATAAGGTTTTTTTTTTTTTAATGATTTATTTTTTATTTATAAACCTATAATTATTTTTTATGGTATTTCTTTTATTTAATATGTATGTTTCTTTTGAATTATAATTTTTTATCATTTTATTTCCATATTTATAAATCATTTATATTTATATATATATGTCTTTATAATACATATATTGTCTATATATTTAAATATTGCATAATTTTTTGTTTAATAAAATAATAATTTTTTATTCTATTGTCACTATTTAAAAATATATATTATTTTTTTATTAATTGTATTATTTTAATATTAATAATTGAATATTATTAAAATATATACATCATTTATGAAGTATTATTGAAAATAAACATTTAATGCAATTTTATCTAAATTTATTTAATAATCACGTAAATGTCGCATTATTAAAATATGTGAGTTGTATTTCATGTAATTTTTATATATATTAACTTTGATATATTACTAGAAAACATTTATTAATAATAAGATTTTATATAATCCAATTCAGTTTTTTTTATATTGAATTATTTGAAAATAAATTATTATTTAAATTAATTAATTTAATTTTCTTTTTTTATTCATTTATTTGTCACTTAGGTTAAAATTTTATTTGCATATTATCATTAAATATATATTTCTAATTTTTATATTAAACTATGCTAACTATATATATATAAATCTTTAATTGTATATAATTATATGTGAAAATTAATATTTCAATTTATCCTTTCATTAAAATACATAATATTATCTGGTTTTTATATTAGAGATGAAATCATCATTTAATAGGAATTATATTAGTTTATATATACGTTAACGTTTCATTTATCAAAATTCAATTATATATATAAAATTTATTTCAAATTTAAGAAAATAGTATTTTTGAAAGTACATTATATATTAATATGGTTATACCATTTTTTTCTTTTATTTAACGTATTCATTACTATAATTAGACTTTTAAATCTTTGTAATGTAAATAATATGCTACTATCCTCTGTATATTACATACATTTACTATTGAAAGAAGCAATATCAATGTTCTTCACATAATAAGCATATGAATTATGATGATTAAATGTTATATTTATTAATATATTTGTAAATAATATTATTATCATATTTATTTATATCTTTTTATATGCTGTAATATACTGTAGAATAAATGTGTAATAATTAAAACTTTATGCCAAAGGTATATAAATATTTTTAGAGAAATTTTATATAAATATTAATAAAAGTGCATCATAATTTGTATTAACGAAGATAGAACCTTATACATCCTTTATTATTCAATATGCGAATAATGTTTTTAGGTTATTGAAGTGAAATATTTTGTTGTATGTATTAACAAGCATGCGAAATTTTTGCATGAATATTGGTTTTATATGTATTTTGAAATATATTTTAAATAATAATCAAATCTATGCTTTATCATTTATGATACATATATTCCTCTCTTATAATTTATTTAAAGATGTATAAAGGTGACAGCTGAAATGTCTTTAATAAGTTTATCATTGTTACTATATATATGCATTTTTTTCATACTAAACATAGTAATTTCTATGAATGTGAATTAAAATTTATGCATATATTCTTAATAAAATTATTATACTGAATTAGTATTATATAATCTGTCTAATGCATAATGTTCTATTCATTATTTTTAGTATTAATTTTTTTCATATTATTTTAGATAAAAAATATTATTTATTGATACACTTAGGAATTTTGATTATACATTTTAAATAATATATATTTTTTTATTATAACGTTTTACGCAAATAGATTTTAAATTAATCATATTTTAATATTTTATTGCAAAAACATAAAGGCCATCGTATTATCATTAAATGAGGTAGAATGTACATATATGAAATTAAATATGTAAATTAAAAAATATTTCTAATATACTTTTATTATTTTTGTATGATTATAATGGTAAAAATATAAATTCAGTAAATCTATATTTTTCCTTTAGTTAAAAATTTATTTTTATTTATAATCATTCATAAAGTTTATAATTATATAATTTAATATATTGTATATTATAGAAATGCTATACTATCATATACCTTATTTGTTGTATAAATAATTAAACTGTGGATTCATTTAATATTTTCAAATAATATTTATATTTCGCATTAATGAAGAGTATATTATTACCTACTTATATTAATGTATACAGGATGTATTTAATATGAATAATATAGTTCTCTAATTTTTACGAATATATACAAAATAATGTATATAGTAAAATCAAGTGATATGATAAATAGGTATTATGTGATAAAAATATTATTCATCAGATTTAGATATATATATAATATAGTATAAATATATTGGACACAATTTTAATGTAATAAAGTTATACATTTTTATTTAAGCTTCATGTATCCTTAATATAATTTAGACAAGAGTTATATAAATTAAAAAATATTAAATATTATCTAAAAAAAAAAAAAAGAGAAGATACATATAACTATTAAATAGAGTTAAATGAAATATAAACGTAAAAAATAAATATTGTATTATTTTATATACATCCAAATAGAAATATAACATGTATTATAATATGATATTGTAATGACATAAATGTAGAAAGGTATAATATATGGACAATTAAATCATACGTTTGTAATTATCAAGAAAATATAATTAAAAAATCATTATTAATAAGTGCATAAATATATAGAAACATTTTTTTAAATATATTAAGTAGTTAAATAGTATTTTATAAATATAAATAATTCGTATTATGTTCATTGATTGTTTCTATATATTTATATTATATATATTTTAGTATTATTCTATGTAGAAAATTACAATTTTATTTATTACAATCACTTTTATAACTTAAAAAACTTTATGCATAAAAAAGACAACATAAGAATATGATATGTTCCATAATATTATACAATGTATTTTTAATTACTATTTACACATATAACAAATAAAATATATGTTCATATTATTACGTTTCTTTTTTACAAGCATTGTGGTACAATAGGAAGATATTCAAGTTAGCAATTTTTTTATATATTGTACCGATTATTTCACATTTATGTGAGTATTTTTACAGTAATCTTATTCGAATGCTTGCCCTGCAGTCATTTGAACATTATTTTAATAAAGGAATTTCTTTTACTTGTAAGTTAAAGTGAAAAAATAGGAGGAATTTTGTAAAATATTATAACTTTTATTTCTAGATATATTGTTATATATTTTGGATTCTTCCAATATATTTTTTTCCTCATCTACATTATCGTTTCCACATATTTCCATTAATGTTGTACGTCTAAAATATGAACCAATTATCATGACCTCATTAATAATTTAAAAAAAAATTATTAATTATAAGTCGATATTTTGAAATGTTTTAGAAGAATTAACTTATGGTATAAATATATATATACATATAATATCATAAATAATGATATATTAATACTACAAAAAAAGTATATTAATAATAATATAACAATTATATGTGTAATGGGAACTACAATATTAGAACATAAATGTGATAACAATTCGGATATTTTAATTTCTAAAGTTATATATAACACTTTTTCATAAAATTAGCTTCTAATATTTTTTAATACATCAAATATATTCTTATCATATGTTGGTTCATATGAAAACATAAGGAGCTTATACATGTCAGCGTGTTCAATTGAAAAATTACACTGATGTACTTTATAGAACTTACAATCTCTTATATTACTATGATTAAAGCTAATATCATATATATCTTTGAGATTTTCAAATTCTATCATTGTAAATTCTACATCATAATAATACATATTCTTCATTTTTACAAATTAATCATTATACACATTTTTCAATTCATAATAAAATTTATTGATGCATTCAACTTCTTTTATCATATCGTTATAACGAATATATAGCCAGTAGTACAACTACTCTCATTCATAATTGTTTAAAGTATTGTCAGAATTTCCACATATATTTATAAATAAAGCATAAATTGGAGAGATTTTTTTTTTAACATTGAAAATAATATAATTATAATTTAAATTCATCTGCATCATCACAGTCCATATTTCAGTAAACATGATCATTATCTTTATTTCTTCTATAATTTTATTATATTGAATGAATAAATCTATAAATATAAACTAAAAAACCTAATAGTGTGTTAAACATATATGACTGCCCACATTTTTATATAAATTAAAAAAAGCATGAAGTACATATATTATAGGATTGTTATTTCTGTTATAATAGGACAAAGCATACAATACTTCTTTTATTATCTATAACATGTACTTATTTAGAATAATTAAATAATGTTATAAAATTAATGAGCAGAAAATGCCAATTTTATTTAAAAATATAAGTAATCCCAATAAATGAAATGATCCAAAATTTTATAATTACAATATTAACATAAAAATATCATAGATTCGCAATATAATTAATTTTAATACTGCTAAATATTTATTAGTAATAACATGTTTGCATATAATATGTTATATATTTTTATAATAATTATAATGCGTAAATGGGAAATGCATATATATTATTTGGAAAAGGAAAAAATGTTATATCGTGCTAAATATAATATTAATGATATTTTTCTTTACAAAAGTAAAATGTTTGCTTATATAAT